AAAAAAAAATTTTGAAAATTTGAAAAAATGGGTCGGCGGGTTATGCAAAACGAAAAATTAACTTTGCGTGGCCTTATTGTAACGCTTGCTACTATTTTCACTTTTTTGAATTTTATTTGCTTAATTTACCTTTTTCTGAGGATCTTGGCACAATGGCGGATAACTAAAAGATCCCTAACGATGATTCACCGGGTACCATTTTATTTCGCACTTAGCGGTATGTAATTCATTCTCTAGAATGTTCAAAATTACTACGCCTACAAGATTTCAATATAGTTCATTTAATATCAAATAAATTAGAATTTATATTTTTTTGCGTCAAAATGATAAATGTTGTACGTATTCTTTGAGTTAATCATAAATAATCATAAAAATGTTATCATAATATTAACTTGCCTCTAATATGTAAGCCATATATGACCTATCTTCATAATACGATTGAAGGGGAATCATGTAAAATTATTGGAGGAACAACATTTTTCCTTTTCTCATTTAATGTGACCCTTAATGGAGCTTTGTCTTTGACGACTTATCTTCGAATATGTAAAGAAATTGCTATTGACCTAGGAATCTATGATTATAAATTGTTTTTGTCCATTACATTAATATCTTTAATATTAACCTTGATTGGAATTCATGACTATGGTCAAAATTTATTTTGGTATGTTTGGTTTTACTGTTATTTAAATTTGTTCATTGAAAGAAATTTTTAATATTTACTTATATTTATTTATACTATTTAATAGGTGCTTTTTTTCTCCCACTAATCTAATAACGTCAATAATAACCATTTCATCGATTAGCTTAATATTAGTCATTACAATATATTGTTATATTATGACTTTATTGCATGTATATGTTTGCGTTAAAAAATTTGGCTCTAAACTCAATCGTGTTGATATTATCGTTACGAGAAAAATTATTTTTTATGTTCTAATCGTCATTTTAGAATGGTTTCCTGTCGTGACTTTTCTTATATCAGAAGTTTATCATGTACTGTACATATGTATAATTTTATATATATCTTTTATATATATATATATTATAATCTTTTTTCTTTCAATCTCGAACTTTTCTTACTCATCATTTTCTTTTTTTAGTCTTACAATATATGGATTTATACTGCAGCATCATTTTCTGTAAACTTTGGTGGAATAGGAAATACAATTCTTTATATTATTTATGAAAATTGGAAAAATCAATATGATAATTCATTAGAAAACTCTGACTATTCTAACAATTATAGTCAAAATAATAATGGAAGTACTAATAACAAAGAAAACAGCGATTACATCAGCAAATTCCATCGAACTATATAGCCAAGGTAATGAAATATCTTTAATAAATTTAAAAGAATCAATAGCACTGAATAAATGACTTATTTATATAATCTATATTAAATTATTTTTAGGCTTTAATGGTCTTTATTAAAAATTAGTGTTTTAAATTTTTTTTTAAAAAAAAGTCTCAAATTTCTTTTATAATTATGTATAAAATTTTTATTTAAATGATTGAATTTTATTACTATAGAATATGTTCTAATTATAGTGCTTTCAAATTATTGTAATCATCAGCGATTTATCGCGCAAAACCAATCAGTTAGAGTTTTTATTATTAGGTTTTATCTAAATTGAGTAATTGGATATTAGAAAGAATATTACAAATGTATAATAAAGCGGGAGGAAGAAAGTAAAAAAAAGGTAGAATCGAGTGAATACAAATAGAGGAATAACTTAAAGATCTCACTCTTCTTAATAACCAACTACATTTGATCCTTGTTAGTAGTATAATATCAACCTTTCATATATATCAACATAATTATCTAATCTAGGGTTAAGTATGCCATTAATCCCGAATTCTTTAATAAAACATTCGTTCAAAGATAAATAGTGTATGGTTGAGGGTTGCTCTTCCAAACCAGAACATTACATAGGACGGTCAAAACGGTATAAACCAATTCCGCTGACAAATATGGCCTGATTTAGGTTAACTTTATGTTAATGTTGGCTAGGGGTAGATCGTCGGTGAAGCAAAAACATCTATTATTTGATATGGGCAAAATTTTGATTTTGTGATAATAAAATTTAATAATAATATTTAATAAAATTCAAATCATTTATGTGATATTGAAAATATAAATTGATTGCATTTTATTGGCTAGCATTTTTATCTACATATAAATCTCTTATTAATCACTTATAAAATCTCTTATAAAAAGCTTGATACGATCAAACTGTATGATTATCTGATTGGTTGATTATATACTTGCTTAATAAATTATTGATGCGTAATTCCGAGTTCGCCAGGGCGACCACCAAAAGTACGGTCACATTATCTGCATTATCGCCACAGCCATATCTTAATTCAGTATATTGCTTTGTTACATATCTTAAGAGTTTTCACAGCAATAAAGCTGCATGCAGGAGCTAAACGATTCAACAATTTTCTAAGAAATTATGCTGTGGCTGTGGCGTCTTATCATGTGACCGGACTTTTGGTGGTCGCCCTGGTGAACTCCGTAATTCCCATTATGTATAAAAATCACTTAATTTCATTAGCGTTATGTAGTCCTTAGTCCCTTATTTATATGATTAGTTTCCTTATATGCGATTTCAAGTTTGTGAAACACAATTTCAAGTTTATGATCCAGCAAATTTCTTTCTGATCGGTAGGTGCAAATCTCTTTTCTTACAGAACAGGAAAAAAAGTCACGAATACAAGGTTGGCAAATGACAAATGACAATGTCATCTAAAATTTTAGTGACAAATAACAAATGGTGATCAGCCAATCAACGAAAATCCTGCATTTGATTGGATAATATATGTGGCAAAGTAGGGATGTGAATGCATATCAGGAATTTCACACGTAGTAGCATCACAGGGCATATGTAATACTTTCTTCTGTATACAGGCAACTTCTGCGCACAATTTGATCCACACCGGAATTCGTATGAATCCATATTTACTGTTTTTCTCATAATCTATTCACAATTAAGTTTTAAAATTCTTATATTCAAATGTTGTAACAAATGATAGTAAAGGCATAATTTTCAGAGATAAATATTCACGGGATATTTTTCATTTTTCATTTTTCTATATTGGACTTATATGAAAAATGAAGAACTCTATCACTGATTATAAAAGAAGAATTACATTTCGTAAATACGACGTTAGTGCCCACGACCTGATTGATACATAGGTATTTCGTGACAAGCTAGTATGTTTACGTATCTTATTATTCGTATTGATTTTAATCAATGCAGATAATTCCTTATTCAAGTTCTTTATGTTGATCAATCGAATTATTCAAAGATAAATTAACACTTAATTTGTTTATATTCAATTTTTTTGTATTGATTTAATTGCTATTTGAATCGGTTATTCAAAGGTAAGCTGACACTTATTTAATGACACCGAGGGAAAACCAAACTTGGTCCATATAAAATTTA